CCACCACCACTACCACCACCAACACTACCACCACCACCAACACTACCACCACCATCACTACCACCACCACCATCACCACCACCACCACTACCACCACCACCAACACTACCACCACCAACACTACCACCACCAACACTACCACCACCACCATCACCACCACCATCACTACCACCACCACCACTACCACCACCATCACTACCACCACCAACACTACCACCACCACCATCACCACCACCATCACTACCACCACCACCACTACCACCACCATCACTACCACCACCAACACTACCACCACCACCATCACCACCACCATCACTACCACCACCTTCACTAACGCCACCACCATCACTACCACCACCTTCACTACCACCACCAACACTATCACCACCACCATCACTACCACCACCACCACCATCACCACCACCACCACTACCACCACCAACACTACCACCACCACCAACACTACCACCACCATCACTACCACCACCACCATCACCACCACCACCACTACCACCACCACCAACACTACCACCACCAACACTACCACCACCACCATCACTACCACCACCATCACTACCACCACCAACACTACCACCACCATCACTACCACCACCACCATCACCACCACCATCACTACCACCACCACCACTACCACCACCATCACTACCACCACCAACACTACCACCACCACCATCAACACCACCATCACTACCACCACCACCACTACCACCACCATCACTACCACCACCAACACTACCACCACCACCATCACCACCACCATCACTACCACCACCACCACTACCACCACCATCACTACCACCACCATCACCACCACTACCACCACCAACACTACCACCACCATCACCACCACCACCATCACCACCACCATCACTACCACCACCATCACTTCCACCACCAACACTACCACCACCATCACCACCACCACCATCACCACCACCATCACTACCACCACCTTCACTACCACCACCAACACTACCACCACCACCATCACTACCACCACCATCACTACCACCACCATCACTTCCACCACCAACACTACCACCACCATCACCACCACCACCATCACCACCACCATCACTACCACCACCTTCACTACCACCACCAACACTACCACCACCACCATCACTACCACCACCATCACTACCACCACCATCACTTCCACCACCAACACTACCACCACCATCACCACCACCACCATCACCACCACCATCACTACCACCACCTTCACTACCACCACCAACACTACCACCACCACCATCACTACCACCACCATCACTACCACCACCACCATCACCACCACTACCACCACCATCACCACCACCACCATCACCACCACCATCACTACCACCACCTTCACTACCACCACCAACACTACCACCACCACCATCACTACCACCACCATCACTACCACCACCACCATCACCACCACCTTCACTACCACCACCAACACTACCACCACCACCATCACTACCACCACCATCACTACCACCACCACCATCACTACCACCACCTTCACTACCACCACCAACACTACCACCACCACCATCACTACCACCACCATCACTACCACCACCACCATCACCACCACCTTCACTACCACCACCAACACTACCACCACCACCATCACTACCACCACCATCACTACTACCACTACCATCACCACCACCATCACTACCACCACCATCACTACTACCACCAACACTACCACCACCATCACTACCATCACTACCACCACCACCACTACCACCACCAACACTACCACCACCACCATCACTACCACCACCACCACTACCACCACCAACACTACCACCACCATCACTACCACCACCACCACCATCACTACCACCACCATCACCACCACCACCATCACTACCACCACCAACACTACCACCACCACCACTACCACCACCAACACTACCACCACCATCACTACCACCACCACCACTACCACCACCAACACTACCACCACCATCACTACCACCACCAACACTACCACCACCTTCACTACCACCACCATCACTACCACCACCACCACTACCACCACCATCACTACCACCACCAACACTACCACCACCATCACTACCACCACCACCACTACCACCACCATCACTACCACCACCACCACTACCACCACCAACACTACCACCACTACCACCACCAACACTACCACCACCATCACTACCACCACCAACACTACCACCACCTTCACTACCACCACCAACACTACCACCACCACCACTACCACCACCATCACTACCACCACCACCACCACTACCATCACTACCACCACCATCACCACCACCGCCACCACCACCGCCACCACTACCACTACCACCACCACTACCACCACCACTACCACCACCAACACTACCACCACCAACACTACCACCACCACTACCACCACCACTACCACCACCAACACTACCTCCACCAACACTACCACCACCAACACTACCACCACCACCACTACCACCACCACCACTACCACCACCAACACTACCACCACCAACACTACCACCACCATCACTACCACCACCACCACTACCACCACCAACACTACCATCACCACCACTACCACCATCACTACCACCACCATCACCACTACCACCATCACCACCACCACCATCACTACCACCACCAACACTACCACCATCACTAACGCCACCACTATCACTAACAACAACAACAACCGCCATTCGCCACTAAGGGGCGGTGACGTCAGCACGACGCTTGTGCCAGGCTATGTGCACATTGAGGCCACGTGAAGTGTCGAACGCCCGCTGGCAGGAGGTCACGGGGCAGACCCAGCAGGTGCCACGGGTCGACTGACTGAGATGACTGGCTGATGCACCACCTGTGCCCCCTACTGTGCCAACCCGCTGTGCTTTAGCCACCCGGCGCTCCGCTCGTTGTTGTGAGCGTCGCTCCTCCGCCCTCCGTTGTTGTTGGAGGGCGACTGCCTCCAACTGCCCAGTAGCAGCGTCCTTCACGAGCCTCCTCCACAGAGGCCGATCTTGACACCGCTGGTACCAGTCATCGGCAAGTCCACTCAGCTCCACGTCCTCCTGTACCACATCACTCCATCTCTTCTCTAGCCCGTGCCTCGCCCGTTTAGCCCCCTCTCGATCCGGCCGAACAAAAGCTGTTTGGGCATGCGGTGTCTGTGTTCAGAAGAAGAGCCACTCCCTGTTGTTTGGCAGTCTGCTGCCCCGAGTAGAGGACTGTCCACTCCTCATGGTGGCAGGAGCCAGAGCCGGTCCACTGGAACCTCCTGAATGCCGCAGAGATCCAGGCGGTACCGGTCCAGCTCCCGACGGAGGAGCGGCAGCCTCTCCTCCGCAGTGAGCGTTCGAAATTCATTCCACGTGGCCACCCGTAGTGGCTTTTCGTTGTTTCTGGAGGAGCCCCGAGGGTAGAAATTCAATCTCCTGGCTCCGCCAATTGGGGTTTTGGCCAGGAGACATCATAGACGCCTGGCTCCCCCCGGGGACTCCGGCACAAGCTTATTAGTTACATATTTCAGTTTAACTCGTGGTTTAGTGGTAATTAATTGAAAGGTGGAGGGGTTACCAGCCCCTCGCACCCGTCCAGAGCCCCCGTTTGGTCGCTGTGGTGGTCACAGACGCCACGAGGGGAATGGCCAATCTAAGGTGGCACTCACATCAAGGAAGTGCTCACCACAGCGCTGTTGTCCGGCACCACGAGGTAGGGGGTTGGTTTGTGCCGGACACTCAATCACACAAACACTCACTCATACACTCACTCACTTATACACTCACTCACTCATACACGCACTCACTCATACACTCACTCACTCACTCATACACTCAATCACACACTCATACACTCACTCACTCATACACTCACTCACTCACTCATACACTCACTCACTCACTCATACACTCACTCACTCACTTATACACTCACTCACTCATACACGCACTCACTCATACACTCACTCATACACTCACTCACTCATACACTCACTCATACACTCATTCACTCATACACTCACTCATACACTCACTCATACACTCACTCACTCATACACTCACTCACTCACTCATACACGCACTCACTCATACACTCACTCACTCATACACTCACTCACTAATACACTCACTCATACACTCACACTCATACACTCACTCACTCATACACTCACTCATACACTCACTCACACACTCACTCATACACTCACTCACTCACTCATACACTCACTCATACACTCACTCATACACTCACCCGCCCCACCCACTCAACCCATTGACCTGCCCTTGATGTAATTGTAGGTTGCACACTCATATTTAAATAAATAATGTAATCCACACTCGCACACAGACAAAGCTCCCCCAGGTAGCCTCTAGCAGGGCTGTAGGGGCAAGTGCTGAGACACAGACAAAGCTCCCCCAGTTAGCCTCTAGCAGGGCTGTAGGGGCAAGTGCTGAGACACAGACAAAGCTCCCCCAGGTAGCCTCTAGCAGGGCTGTAGGGGCAAGTGCTGAGACACAGACAAAGCTCCCCCAGTTAGCCTCTAGCAGGGCTGTAGGGGCAAGTGCTGAGACACAGACAAAGCTCCCCCAGGTAGCCTCTAGCAGGGCTGTAGGGGCAAGTGCTGAGACACAGACAAAGCTCCCCCAGTTAGCCTCTAGCAAGGCTGCAGGGGCAAGTGCTGAGACACAGACAAAGCTCCCCCAGGTAGCCTCTAGCAGGGCTGCAGGGGCAAGTGCTGAGACACAGACAAAGCTCCCCCAGGTAGCCTCTAGCAGGGTTGTAGGGGCAAGTGCTGTGTTAGTAGCGAGTAGCAGCAGCAGCGTCTATGAAGGCTACCGGCACTGTGGCTAAGACTCAGAGGGGGTGGGTGGCCAGCAGCACCACCACTACCACGCCCGGCCGCCTTTGTCTCTCCCCCAGTGGCGATGTTTGACACGCACAAATATACAAAATACTACTGCGTCGTATTTGTCTTATGCCACCAGGTGTAAGAAGACCCCACAGGGCTGCTGATGCTGTGTAGATGTTTGTTCAGACACAGCGCTACCTGGCCCATCACACGCAGCCAGAGCAGCTCACACCAAGTGGATTATATCATAGAGACCCATAGACACCCATAGAGACCCATAGACACCCATAGAGACCCATAGACTCATAGAGACCCATAGAGACCCACAAAGACCCACAGAGACCCACAGAGACCCACATAGACTCATAGAGACCCACACAGACCCAGATACTAATATAGACCCATAGAGACTCACAGAGACGCATAGAGACCCACAGAGACCCACAGAGACCCACACAGAGACCCACACTAACACTACAACTATGTTGATGTGACCAGGTGTAAGTGACCCCTGAAGGCTGATGCTACTGGCTGTGTAAATCTCTGTTCAGACACAGCGCTACCTGGCCCATCACACGCAGCCAGAGCAGCTCACACCAAGTGGATTATATCATAGAGACTCATAGACACCCATAGAGACCCACAGATACCCACACAGATCCAGAGACCCATAGAGACCCACACAGATCCAGAGACTCATATAGACCCATAGAGACCCACAGAGACCCACACAGACTCACAGAGATCCAGAGACCCATAGACACCCACACAGATTCAGAGACTCATATAGACCCATAGAGACCCATAGAGACCCACACAGACACACAGAGACCCACAGAGACCCACACAGACCCACAGAGACCCACAGAGACACACAGAGACCCACAGAGATCCACAGAGACCCACAGAGACCCACACTAACACTCAACTATGTTGATGTGACCAGGTGTAAGTGACCCCTGAAGGCTGATGCTACTGGCTGTGTAAATCTCTGTTCAGACACAGCGCTACCTGGCCCATCACACGCAGCCAGAGCAGCTCACACCAAGTGGATTATATCATAGAGACTCATAGACACCCATAGAGACCCACAGAGACCCACACAGACCCACACAGATCCAGAGACCCATAGAGATCCACACAGATCCAGAGAATCATATAGACCCATAGAGACCCACAGAGACCCACACAGACTCACAGAGATCCAGATACTCATATAGACCCATAGAGACCCATAGAGACCCACACAGACACACAGAGACCCACACAGACCCACACAGACCCATAGAGATCCAGAGACTCATAGAGACCCACAGACACCCAGATAGACCCAGAGACTCATAGAGACCCACAGAGACCCACAGAGACCCACACTAACACTACAACTATGTTGATGTGACCAGGTGTAAGTGACCCCTGAAGGCTGATGCTACTGGCTGTGTAAATCTCTGTTCAGACACAGCGCTACCTGTCCCGTCACACGCAGCCAGAGCAGCTCACACCAAGTGGATTATATCATCATCATTCATTCATCACCGTGTGGAAATGTATAGCAGCAACCAAATCCTCTCAAGGCGTGGATGATTCTAAAAGTGGAGGGGAGCGAACGAGAAAGACACAGACTCCAAATATACAGCAGCAGCAGGCGTCGTCAGGGTCAAGGGATCGAACCCACGACCACCTATATACCACGCGAGGTAGTCAACATCTCCCCATTGTCAGGATCGAACCCACGACCTCCTGTAGACCAGGCGAGGTAGTCAACATCTCCCCATTGTCAGGATCGAACCCACGACCTCCTGTAGACCAGGCGAGGTAATCAACATCTCCCCATTGTCAGGATCGATCCCACGACCTCCTGTAGACCAGGCGAGGTAGTCAACATCTCCCCATTGTCAGGATCGAACCCACGACCTCCGGTAGACCAGGCGAGGTAGTCAACATCTCTCCATTGTCAGGATCGATCCCACGACCTCCTGTATACCAGGCGAGGTAGTCAACATCTCTCCATTGTCAGGATGGAACCCACGACCTCCTGTATACCAGGCGAGGTAGTCAACATCTCTCCATTGTCAGGATCGAACCCACGACCTCCTGTAGACCAGGCGAGGTAGTTGTTGTTGGAGGGCGACTACCTCCAACTGCCCAGTAGCGTCCTTCACGAGCCTCCTCCACAGAGGCCGATCTTGACACCGCTGGTACCGGTCATCGGCAAGTCCACTCAGCTCCACGTCCTCCTGTACCACGTCACTCCATCTCTTCTCTAGCCCGTGCCGCGCCCGTTTAGCCCCCTCGATCCGGCCAAACAAAAGCTGTTACGGCATGCGGTGGCTGGGCATGCGGGCTACATGACCCTGCCAACGCAGCCTTGCCTGCCGGAGGAGCTCACCGATGGGACTTTGTCCAGATCTTTCAAGGATTTGTGAGCTCCTCACACAATCCAGCCTGGTTAAACCCAGGATGGATCGTAGGCAGGCCAACGTAAATGTTTCTAACCGGCGTAGATGCTCCATTAAGGAGGTCCACGTTTCGCAAGCGTAGAGAAGGGAGGGAATGACCGTGGCCGAGAAGACCTGAAGCTTAGTGCGGAGCGACAGACCAGGTAGCTTCCACACAGCGTTACGCAACCGATAAAAAGATATTGCCGCTCGTCTGATTCGGAGTGAGATCTCAGCTAGTAAAACCGAAGCCGGTCATGAGCACACTGCCCAGGTATGGGAAACTCTCCACTCTCTACACAACTGCCCCATCACCGATTGGGAGTTGTGGGGGTGGAGTGTCCGATGGTACAAAATACCCAGGCAGGTGCTTAGTTTTGGTGGGGCTGATGGTAAGGCCCCACCTCTTAGTGGCACGCTCCAGTCTCAGCAGCAGTGTCTCCATCTCCTCCTCTGAATGAGCAGCTATTACCAAATCATCGGCATACATAATAACGTGGTTGAGCAATAGGGAGCCATCCCTTGACCGCACCCGGGCATCGATCAGCCTCCCATTATATCTGTACAATATGGAGATTCCCCCGGGTACAGCTATCGAAGGCTTCACGAACTACGTGGTCAAAATAGATGTTAAATAATGTGGGAGCCAGAGGGACATCCCTGTCGCACCCCAAGGTGTACAGGGAATGGCTCCGACTCCCGGCCACGTAGTTTTACCCGGGCCCGCTCGCCATCACGAAGGTCCTTAATGATCGTGAGCAGAGGGTCAGGGACTCCGAAAGCACGAAGAACGACCCAGAGCCCAGGCCTACACACACACACATCTACACCCACCGCTTCCTGAGCATCGTCCCGGAATAAACTTTCACCCCTCCCCCCCATGCCAGCTCACAGCACGCCTTGGGGGATATTGATGCAGGGGGCTATTGATAGGGCGGTGGTGGCGGTGGTGGCGAGTTCACAGCCAACTCGGCAAAGAGCACCTCAAGTTACACAGCAGCAGCAGTAGCAGCAGTAGTATCATCATCATCAGTTGTAGTATCATCATCATCATCAACAGTAGTATCATCATCAACAGTAGTAGTATCATCATCATCAACAGTAGTATCATCATCAACAGTAGTAGTATCATCAACAGTAGTATCATCATCAGCAGCAGTAGTATCATCATCATCAGCAGTAGTATCATCATCATCATCAGCAGTAGTATCATCATCATCATCATCAGCAGTAGTATCATCATCAACAGTAGTAGTATCATCATCATCAGTTGTAGTAGTATCATCATCATCAGTAGCAGTATCATCATCAGTAGTAGTATCATCATCATCAGTTGTAGTATCATCATCATCAACAGTTGTAGTATCATCATCATCATCAACAGTAGTAGTATCATCATCATCAGTTGTAGTATCATCATCATCAACAGTAGTAGTATCATCATCAACAGTAGTATCATCATCATCTGTTGTAGTAGTATCATCATCATCAGTTGTAGTATCATCATCATCAGTTGTAGTATCATCATCATCATCAACAACAGTAGTAGTATCATCATCATCATAAGTAGTAGTATCAGCATCATCAGCAGTAGTATAATCATCATCAGCTGTAGTATCATCATCATCAGTTGTAGTATCATCATAATCATCATCAACAGTAGTAGTATCATCATCAGCAGTAGTAGCAGCAACAGTCGTATCATCATCATCATCAGTAGTAGTAGTATCATCAGTAGTAGTATCATCATCATCAGTAGTAGTATCATCATCAGCAGTAGTAGTATCATCATCATCAGTAGTAGTATCATCATCATCAGTAGTAGTAGTATCATCATCATGAGTAGTAGTATCATCATCAGTAGTAGTAGTATCATCATCAGCAGTAGTAGTAGTATCATCATCATTAGTAGCATCATCAACAGTAGCAGTAGTATCATCATCATCATCAGCAGTAGTATCATCATCAGTAGTAGTATCATCATCAGTAGTAGTATCATCATCATCAGTAGTAGTATCATCATCATCAGTAGTAGTAGTATCATCATCAGCAGTAGTCTCATCATCAGTAGTAGTATCATCATCAGCAGCAATAGTATCATCATCAGTAGTAGTAGTTTCATCATCAGCAGTAGTTTCATCATCTGCAGTAGTATCATCATCAGCAGTGGTATCATCATCAGCAGTAGTAGTATCATCATCAGCAGCAGTAGTATCAGCAGTAGTAGTATCATCATCAGCAGTAGTATCAGAAGCAGCAGAAGTAGCATCATCAGCAGCAATAGTATCATCAGCAGCAGCAGTAGTATCATCAGCAGTAGTATCATCATCATCTTCATCAGCAGTAGTATCATCAGCAGTAGTAATAGTATCATCAGCAACAGCAGTAGTATCATCATCAGCAGCAGTATCATCATAATCAGCAGTAGTATCATCATCAGCAGTAGTAGCAGCAGGATCAGCAAAAACCACAGCGTCAGTAGCTGTGTGCCGTGCGTGATGATGATGGTGTTGTTGATGGTGTTGTTGATGATGGTGATTGATGGTAATGATGGTGGTGATTGTGTTGATTGATGTTGATGGTAATGATGGTGGTTATTGATGGTAATGATGGTGGTGATGATGGTGGAGGTGGTGTTGATGGTGGTGTTGATGGTGGTGATTGATGTTGATGATGGTGACCACGTGACGCTAGCGCC